TGTAATTCAAATGGCTTATCGTATTTAATATTTGTAAGGTTGACACCATTATATTTGCATCCTGCATCGGAGTAAGATTTGAGATTTTAAATATTAAAATTACAACTCTCCCCAATAAAGGAATGAATTTGAAAACTACAACGCAGGACATAAAAATGTACAACCTCCATCGAGATAAAAACAAATAAAATTATTTCCAATTTCTTTTTCAGCAGTGAACATAGTAGACCGTACCTTATTCAGATTGATAAATGATTGAAAAATGTAATAATTTATTTTATCTAAGTAATTTTGCTTACTTTGTGTTTTCTTGTTGGTAAGTTTTAATTTAATAAGACAACACTTAGACCCACTTGCACCAAAGTTCTTAAATATATTCTCGATTCGATTCTTTCTCTATTTGACTTTAAATAATTTACAGAAACAAGATGCTGTGTTAAAGACAATTAAGCCTTGATTTGAATTAAGAATTTTTGTTCATGTGGTCCTGGGCTATTTATTATGATTTTATTTCACAAGGTTCTATTCATATGAATTTACTTAATTTTTGACATGTGATAATCAATAACTGGTACTGGCAAGTACTAATCGGCCATCTTCAATAAAAGCCAAATGTCCATACGTTTGGCTTCTATTGAAGATGACCCAATAGTGTGGTGTAGCATAGTGCTCTAATATCGATTAGAGTACTACAAGATACTAAACAGGAAAAAAGAACCAGACGAGGTCTGTATCACAAACAAGGACCTACGCGTTGTGTCAAGTATAATTTAGGAGTTCATGTAAACTGTTTTGTGATATATCATACAAGAGAATGAAGTAAATCTCATTCAACAGTGACCAATACCACACAAGAAGAACTAGAGGGAATAATTACAAAAAGCCATATAGTTACCTATAAAATTATTATGATACAAAATATTAGTTTTATTTTGTTACTGGAAAATGTAACGAAGCATGATTAGTAAGAGGTTTCTTAAAATCTATATTTAGCTATTTGCAGTCCCTATGCAGGGGCCCAATTCTCGCGGCATAGATATTATATCACCTTCGATAAATATCGAATGATCTGGCTTTTATCGAAGGAAAACCTTTTTGCCCTATTCTCACCATGTCGCAATAGATATTTATCTACGGATGATCAGTAGACATACATCGACTGGTAAAGAGCCTTCGATATATAAATATCTATGGATCTTGGCATGTCAATCTTGTTATTTCAACTTTTTTTACCTATTATTTATTGTGTTGTCGTGTGTCATTGCCAATTATTGTTACCTCAAGATGTTGTTAACTGCCTTCATAAATAATTAGTAAATAAAGAAATAGGTAAACAATGGTGTCGATTCTGGCGTGATTCTCTAAACTTAAAACTAAATTTAACATCAGTCTCTCTTTTTCATTCTGTATAGAGAATGACAAAGAAACACTGTTGTCAAGTTTAAGTTTAGAGAAACGTGCCAGAATCGACACCAGTTTATATTAACGATGGATGAGTTGATTCATGTTTTAATAAATGACGTGATTGCTATTGCTGTGCTAAGGCGCCGCCGTTGTGAGAGCAAGAGGGCCCATTTGAAATGAGGGACGCCGACTTCATAAAAAAAATACGTTTAAACAAAAATTTGGTTAGAAATCTATAAAGTTATGAATGACATTGGTATCGACTCTGACACGATTCTCTAAACTTAAAACTAAATTTAACATCAGTCTCTCCTTTTCATTCTGTATGGAGAATGACAAGGATACACTGTTGTCAAATTTACGTTTAGGTTTAGAGAATCATGCCAGAATCGACACCATTTTCTTATTGACGATGCGAAGTTTTTGGCCCAAATTTTGAATAAAATTTGGGATTTCTGCGAGAGCGGTTGGCGTCTTATTTTAATTATTCTAAAATTCGTTCATAGTGGATATTGTGAAATAAAATTGGTGTGATTTGGTGTTACAATCGTCTGCGCAACTGAAGAATTAGTGGAATCTTTAAAATATACGCTATTCCGGTCAAGTGGACGCGAGAACTTTATTGTAGTGTTGACTACCTCACAGAAGCTTAGAGTAAAAGCCAGCTCCATAAATTTCGTGCCAAACACTCCAAGAAACATTAGAATGCATCACACTGACATTCTAATGTAAAAAAAAGAAGAATATAACTAAAGATTAGGCTGTATGGGCATTGTTCCCTTTGCCTTCCCTGAAAAGGGAGAATTTTAAATAATATTGACGTTTCATTATACATAACGTTGAAATTTTAAACGCATACAATTTAGGTAAAGTTGAGATTTCTTATACTCAAAAAATGTATACTCATATTTAATATGAATGGAATTCATAAAATATAAAATATCATTTTGTTGCTTGTAAAATTCTGCTCTAATTTATTATTATTTTATATAGACTATGATATTAACTTAATCGAGAAAAACGGAACGCTTTCGGCAGTGAAAGAATATCTACGATAGATATAATAATCATTGGAATATCGAAAATCCACGAGAATAGCATTTTTTACCATCAGTAGATATTTTCAATAGATATCCCTACTTTCGATATTATCTCGAAGCCGATATAATATCTACGCCGCGAGAATTGGGTCCCAGTAATATGGTGATTATGAAAATAATCCCCTAGAGCCTTAATATGTATCATTAAGATTTTAAAACAAGTATCAGCTTCATGTGTTATTTTTTTTTTGCAGTTGTGTTATCTAAGCATGGGAAACCGATGATCACCTACAGAGGATATTCATATAGAAAACACCAAATAACGGGGAGGGGCATAAGATGGGCTTGCTCCAGTCACAAACATTGCAAAGCCTGCATTCACACTAAAAACGATAGCTTTACAACTATTATTAGAATCGGAGGCCAGCATTATCATTAGATTGAACCATCCATATTCTAATCAAGGCACTTCGTGAATTAAACGTTGAAGAAAGATAAACATTATAGCTCTAAATAACAGCACGTTGCCAATGAATGAAATTGTAAACAGGATAGATACGGCCAAATTTATTCCTCTTTCTATCAACTTTCTTCAACGGCAGTCTTTTAGATACTGCATCAACCTAAATACCAGTGGGATTAAACAATTGGTTGACAAAAAACTCTTATGCTTACCTTGAAATATAAATGATTCAAATTATGTTACACATAAAATTTACGACAAAATAACTATAGATATATTGCTTATTTATAATCTTGACATTAAGTGTTATCGTTAAAACGGTTGGAAAGAATTCCACTTATCTAAGCCTTCTGCAAGACCTACCTTTAAATTATGACCAGGGGCCAAAAATTATAACTATTTGCATGATTTACAAATAGCCGTTACTACAAAAAAGTCGCAATCGGCTAGAACAGTCATGTTTCGGAAAGATGTAATATATTTTTTAACATAACTTTATATACACAAAAATGTAGGTATACCACATTAAATGCAGATGAAATAAAAATACAGTTACAATGAAATATATATATAAATATATATATATATATATATATAAATAAGAGATCACATAGTGAGCATTTCTCACTATGTGATCTATAAACTTTGCTACTTGCTTTTTCACACTGTCTTTTTCTATTTTCTACTAACATACATACGAGTATATTAAACTGCAAGATGGTGTATGGATAGATACGTCAGTCATACTTTGTTTTAATGCCTTTACATTCGGGTGTATGTTCAATTCATGATTTAATATAGCTTTTAACAATATCGTGACAGTTATACAGGGTGTTACAAAAATACAAATAAAGCTTGAAGGCGTTGAAGTACATCATATAAGGAGGTATCTCTAATTTTCTTAAAATATTTGCATGAAGTTTTAACTTTTTTATAAAAACAGTTATTTTTAATGATCCTCGAACTAGTGACGTGTCTTAAAATGATCGATATTTTTATTAATCATTAAAATAACTGTTTTTATAAAAAGATAAAACATCATGCAAATATTTTAAGAAAATTAGAGAAGACTCCTTATATGATGTTCTTCAACGCTCTTCAAGCTTTATTTGTATTTTTGTAACACCCTGTATATAAACAAGTAAGGAATGCTTTTTAAGCATTCAACTGCTAGATTAACTAAATATTGAGATTTCTATTTATAGCTTTATCTAAAGTTTTAACCACAGTTTATATATTGCTTGTCTTTTATGTAACCTACATCCTATTTATGTATGTTAATTAAAACATACTTTTTAATGCCTTCTTTTCTTTCTTCCTTCTTGCTTTTTAGCAGTTAATTGTCCAATAAAGTTCAATTCAAAAATTTAAGACCTAGGTGTGGGAAGAATGTCAGTACACCAGTGAGGTAAGCCCTTCTGGTGTCGCTGGACTGACTATATAAAAATAATTATAATTTTGTAATACATATTCAGTAAGTTTATAAATCATTGTGATTACATAAATAAAGTTATTTTTAATATAAGTTTTGTTTTTAGTTTCTTGGGAAAAAGATGAGTTGCACCATCAAACGATTTAACTGTGATGATTTTTATGGCTCTAAGTATTTATTATTAAAAATTATGTAATAGGCAAATTATGTTATAGGCAAATTATGTTTCAGAAAACGAAGCATTCCTAGAATTGGCCCCAGAATTTACATAATCTAATAAGGGTAATCCAGTTCTAATGCTTGAAAGACATGAATATTAAGCTGCAAGAAAGTGGGTAAAAAGAAGTGGTACTACTTAAAAGGTAGATAAAGATTTTTGAATGGCGACCGTGCACTGAATAACGCTGAGTTGGTAGATTTGTCATTAGATCTGGTAAAAATACTGAATGACATGAGCAACTTTGGGGGAGGCCTTTGCTATGATTTATATCACGTTTTTATCACGCTCTGTTGAAAGATCTGTCTGAAAATACTATGAAGTTTGACAGCTGGACGCGATAAAAAAAGTGATCTATGTCATATTGTGGAGCTCATACCACGGGGTCTAAGGTGATGATGATAAAATCTAATTATATCGGTATTTGACCTGAAATTCATGAAATTTGTTTTTACTCAATTAATACTTATTCACTTTTCCAGTGACTCTGATTAAATCGAAAAAAGGAAAGACTAACATCAAAGTGGGCGAGTACATATTCTATATGAAACCAGGCTCAGGTTCGAAGGAAAGGTGGGTTTGTGCACAAAATAGATACTGCAAGGCGCGCCTACACGTCTTAGATAACAAAATTGTCGCCATTAATAATGAACACAACCATGACAAGAGATAAATTATTATGAACTCTAGTTATTCGGGCTTACTCGTTAATGTTTTGTTCCATAAATATGGCTAAGTGAAGCAAAAGATACCTGGTTCATTCTTCATGTTCGTGAATAGGTGCCGCTAGTGGAGATGAGACTATTATTATACTTTTCTCCTGTTGAAACTTAAATTCTACGGGCATATTTTTGTCTTTCTTTTGCTTTTTGTCTTTTTATTATGTTTTGTCCAATCTTAATTTTATTTTAATTTTTATGTTAGTAAATTATATGATTTTTATTCAATTTTTAAAATTAAATTAAATTAAACGTAATAATTACTGACATATAATAACGCCGTTGGTATCTAATGTGTACGTAATGAGTTTCTGTAATTGGCCTTAAGATTGTATCTATATTTAATTGTATTAAATTTCACAAAAAACCTCTGTAGAAACTTTGTTAAAGATAAATAAATGAATAAATCTCCTCTCCTCCTTTGCAGCGCAGCTGTGTTTTATTTTTTATTTTATTTTGTAAGGAATAACAAACAGTTGTACAATTTGTGTTACATAAAGATTTACAGAATCTGTGGCTACGGATAGTGGTGTCGATTCTGGCATGTTTCTCTAAACTTAGGACTGAATTTGACATCGGTCTCACCTTTTCATTCTCTATAGGTAGTGACAGAGATACACTGTTATCTGGTTCAAGTTTGGGTTTGCGAAGTGCCGGAATCGAAACCAGTACCCTTAGCACGAACCAAAATCGAATTCGAATAGTTTGCGAGTCCGAAATGTCATTGTCAAATGTGTACTAATTTTTAGTTCTCATTACGTATTTTGTGGCGCAGCTGTTCAAGTTTCCATACAAAATTTGACATTGACATTTCGTTTTGCAAACTATTCGAATTCGATAATGGTTCGTGCTAGGGGTACAGTACACTTAGCACGGACCAAAATTGAATTCGAATAGTTTGCGAGTCCAAAATGTCATTGTCAAATGTGTACTGATTTTTAGTTCTCGTTACGTACTTTGTGCCGCTGCTGTTCAAGCTTCCATACAAAATTTGACATTGGCATTGTGTACTCGCAAAATATTCGAATTTTATAATGGTTCGCGCTAAGAATACAGTATAGTACATGTCATGATAGTACAGTCAATCTGTCGAAAAAAATATCGTTTCAGTGAAAAAAAAACCTAAAGGGTAAGTCTTGTTTTTTCTGTTGCCAAATGACGTCAGTAAGCCACCTTGGCGATGGGCATGTTCAACTCGTAGGCGTTTTTTGAAAAACTCAAAAAAACCGTCAAAAATTTTTTGAAACGCATTTTTCTTGTTTTATATGCATTTTAGAGACTTTTTTTTTCGAACATAATTGTAGAGGGCGTTGAGTACTACAATTTATGTCATTGTTGCAACCTCGTACAACAAAAAATGCGCATTGTAGGTGGCGCTAAAGTCTCAGAAAAGTGTTTTTTCACTTTTTCACCCTGAAAATATCATTTTAATGGAAAACTTTAAATGGCAAAGTTGTTTCGTACATAATTACCAACAACTTTTGTATAAACAATTTTTTTGTATTACTTACCGTTTTCAAGTTATAAATTGCGCAGGTATGAAAAATCCAATAGAGCGGTTTTGGGCAGTTCAAGTACACATTTGCAGAGCACATTTCAATGTACGTTTTACTATTTTTTATTTTTTTTCATGATTGAAAAACAAAAAAAAAAAAAAAAAAAAAAAAAATAGTTTTTTTTTTATTTTTTTTTTCATGATTAAAAAACATAGTAAAAACGTACATTGAAATGTGCACTGCAAATGTGTACTTCAATTGCCCAAAACCGCTCTATTGGATTTTTCATACCTGCGCAATTTATAACTTGAAAACGGTAAGTAATGCAAAAAAAATGTTTATACAAAAGTTGTTGGTAATTATGTACGAAACAACTTTGCCATTTAAAGTTTTCCATTAAAATGATATTTTCAGGGTGAAAAAGTGAAAGAACACTTTTTTGAAACTTTAGCGCCACCTACAATGCGCATTTTTTGTTGTACGAGGTTGCAACAATGACATAAATTGTAGTACTCAACGCCCTCTACAATTATGTTCGAAAAAAAAGTCTCTAAAATGCATACAAAACAAGAAAAATGCGTTTCAAAAAATTTTTGACGGTAGTTTTGAGTTTTTCAAAAAACGCCTACGAGTTGAACATGCCCATCGCCAAGGTAGCTTACTGACGTCATTTGGCAACAGAAAAAACAAGACTTACCCTTTAGGTTTTTTTTTCACCACTCAACCTACAGATTGACTGTACTATGATTTATTTATTGTATTAAGTGGGAGGAAAAGTTTCTTCGCATTTTAATTGTAATTTAATTTTTTAATTAAGTTTATTTTTAGCTAAAGTATGTAGGTGCCATTTTGTTCGATAACTTTTTGCCATCTTGTAGGTAGGACATGACCCCATTGCTATAGAAATTTTGGGGCTTCTGATCAAAAAACCGCGACCAGTGGTTTTGGCAGTACTCTCGTGATGTTAACCTGACACTGCTTCAATAATTTTGAAGAGACCGAAACAGGTGGAAATTTGAAGGTGCAAGGTCAGCACTTTATGGCGGATGTATTAAACGAGTACAAGATTCATTAGGTTTCTTTCAGTGAGCTCGTGAGGTACCCAAATATCGAGCTTTTGTGTACCCAGCTTTTTTCCAATGCGCCTAAATTATTTTGTGGTCAATTCCCAGTTCTTCAGCTACCATTGATATGCCGATCTTGCTCTATATTCTCAAAAATGGCATCCATTTTATCCGTAACAGGGCTATATGAACGACCATATTTTACATCAAAATTTCCGGATTGAAAACGCTTATACCAAATTTTTGCTACTGTTAAAGCGCGTCCGCTGCGCCATGTTTTGTACAGAACATTGTTTGTTCAAAACATTTCCCGCCCGCAGCGACTTTAGCAATGATCAGTAAACAATGTGTTATAAACAGCCCAATTTTTCACATTTGAAAAAATAAGCAGCGAGGAGTAAGACGTAAACATTGTTTTGGATGTAGTGGATTTAGTACTAGAAAGAAGAAAAAGAAATTCGTGTCAGACCTTACTTACCTACAGCAACGCGCCTACAACATATATTAAGAACTGCAAATTGAAGACAGATTTGGAATAAAAAAATATTTTCTTTTTACCGAGAGTGATTTTGAAGAGCTTTTACCATTAATATCGCCTGACATACAAAAAACAACCACATGGCGGCGTGATGTAATTCCACGTGATATGAGACTAGCTAGGTGTTACGTTAAGATTTCTAACAACAGACGATGGTTACACAAGTGTAATGTACAATTTGAGAATTTATAAACAGTAATACTCCTAATTGATTCTGTTGAATGTCGTCTGAAGTCTGTTTAGCTCTATACAATAGACTGAAAAAGATGTATCTAAATTAATAAATAAATTATGATAGTCACATCAAAACACGTCTTCCTACTCCAAAATCAAACGTAAAATGAACGATTTCTCCCGCTCGCAGACCAACGCGGGGGATGTTTTCTATAAACTCCGGCAAACACGTTAAAGTGTTCAAAACATTTAGGCCTTATTTATGTTTTCGAACAACGTTCTGTTTAAAACATGGCGCAGCGGACGCGCCTTCAGAGACACTGCACTAGCTCCATAAACATCACATTTTTACTTTTTTGTAGTAAAAATTAAAAATTTATCGAATTTCTTCATTAGTTTTACTCATCTTGATAGTAAGAAAAACAAATGAAAATCACATTTTTTTCTAATATGAATTTAGAATTATCCTCTTTAAAATTTAAACTTTTTATTGATAACAAAACCAGCCAGATACCAATGGCCAAAGAGATTATATTACCAGTTCATACATACTACAATGCGAATAGACTTTTCCCACAACCTATTATGTTGTCTATTTTTGTAATTTTGTAAAATTATAAATTTTAGAATTTGTCTGTATCTGTATAATGTGCTGAATAAACGATTTTGATTTGATTTGATCTTCAAGAGAAACTTATTTGGATACCCCACTGTTTGCCTCTCTTTATGGGGGCAAGCAGAGATGTGATTGATGATTTTGTCCTTGTCAAATATATCTTATAGTCTTTATTGTATAGAATGTCACTTAGTTTCACTTCTTTTTTTTTCACACTTTAATTTAAATTTTATAATAGTGGCCCGCGGCGTGTTTGCGTTAACATCCCATGTCCTCAACCCCGGTCATATGCATACCGAATTTCAACAAAAACCATTTAGTAATTTTTGCGCTATTGAGTAACAAACATACAAACTTTCACATTTCTAATATTGTAGTAGGATTTAAAATAATTTGGTAATTTCATACGTAAAAGTACTTTAGTTGAAAGCGTCTGTAATTCACAGAGGTCCCGGGAGACGATTCTACACAACCTGATTCTTCAGACTGTGAACATGAAAAACCTGTGCAACTTAAGAAGGGTAAGCTCATTGCTCCACTTCCGTCAAATATACGATGTATTCAAGATGCAGAACACTTGCCTATAATTACTGGAAAACGATCCAGATGCAGACAATGTCATTACAAAAAGGCGCGCACCACATGTAGGTCATGCGGTGTCGCATTATGTTTGACAACAACCCGTAACTGTTTCTTAGAATTTCATTGCTAAAATTAATTTATTGATTGTAAAACATCTAGCTTGAAAATCAATTGATGTCAATGAATTGAGGAGCTGGCGAACAAAACGGTAATACACATTAGTATCATCATACATATTAACATAGTTTTATTTCACATACCCGTGAGAGCCTGTTAAAGAACTGGGTGTTGTAGGCTATATTAGTTTGCGCAATATGAAGTCGATGTTGTTGAACAACTGAATGTCAACATTAGGTATTTCGAAAAGTGAACATAGTTATATAAGAAAATGAAACCTGAACAGTAGCCGGGGTACCCAGGTTATTTTTTTTTGTCCAGTATACGTCGCTGTGGGCAACACATAAAATAGACAGTACAGAAGGTATTCGGGTCTTCAAGCATTTCACCCCATACAAAATGCGCTCGAACAACGCACACCATAGCACCGCTCACGGACACGATATCTCGGACCAGTCGGGACCACTACGAGCGCTGGATCTATAAACTTTTTTTTATGCAAATATGGAGCACCGAAAAGTTTATTTACCTGTTCAATAAAAGGTTGTCCTAAATAAAAACCATTAATGATATATTCAAAAAATAGAACAATTTAACATTAAAGAAACCCCTTGTAGTTACTCCAATGGTGATGAAGGTTATGTTACATCCTTTTATATAATATATAACGTATTAACTGAAGTTATATTGTGTTTAAGGTATATACCTTGATTATATAATCAATTCCAAAAAAAAACTTTTTTCGTTCATCATCATCAGCCTATTCATGTCCCCTCTGCTGGGACATAGCCCTTCCCATGGAAAAGGGAGATTAGGCCATGACCCACCACGCGGGCCCAGTGCTGAACAACTGCAGGGACCAACGTCTTAACGTGCCTTCCGAAACTATTTTTATCGTTTATTTTTTTTTGAGGTAACTAGCTCATAGTGAATTATGTACTTCAAAATGAATCATGTTGCATGATTTGTTGGGGATGAATGATAAAATGAAAAGGCTCAAAATTTTCAACATTAGTCTGACATAATAAGCATAGTATTTTTTTACAGATTTAGATCCGAAGTTTTCCAAGTCAACACATGGGAATCCCATCATCCTTTTGGACGGCTACAAGTTTCGTTTGAAGCGTGATTCCCGGGTAGTGAAAAGCCTGAACGTCAGATGGGTCTGCTCTACCATGAAGCACGGTTGCAAGGCCAAATTGATGACGGTCGAGAACGTGGTTGTAGCCTATGATAACGTCCATAATCACCAAAGGCCGAAAGGCAGGTCGTCGAAGAAAGACAAATCAGACAAATCTAATAAAGAATATTCCGATGAATCGGATTGATAAGTGCACATTTCTAGAATACTAGCATGTTAACCTTTGCCAACTGCCTTGATGGTATCTAATTGTTGCACGCAATAACATTTTATTTATTGAGGCGGCATCCTGTTACCTGTTTTGGTCATATCCATAACTTTTTTATATTTTTAAATATTTTTAGTGCAGATTATTATTTAGTGAAAAGCATTGTATAATCCCAAAGAATATAATAATAATTTCAAGCTCTGCCCTCCGGATCTCTGTGGAGCACAGACGTGTTCATTTTATGTGAATCTGTGTCACTTTTAATTTTAATTATATTTTGAATTAAAATTATTTAAAAAAAGGAGTGCACAATATTTGAGGAGATCAGATTGAAGCCTGCCTGGTTACCGTAACTGAAAGAAAAAAGTAACATATATAGCATTACGGAACAAGGAATATTACTAAGACTACATAAATAGCAAGGTTTAAATTTCATACCGCCGTCCAACATTCACTGACAGACACTTACGCACTGCTACACATCTACTGTGTTCGGCCCACCCATAACACTGCTTGCTTGCACCCATACCGACATCAACTAGAGCTCATCCCGCCGGCCCCCAACATTCATTGACAGACACTTTCGCACTGCTACCACATCTACTGTGTCCCGCCCATCGATAACGCTCGCCCCTAGCGTTGCCATCCGTCCGGAATCAAGCTGGACAGTGTTAAGCTTTTTGATCTCTTGTCCGGCCTGCCCGGGTTTTTTTAGTCTTATTTTCTTTTGACGCAAGCAAGCTGCACACACTTGACTAAATATGCAAATGAAAAAATGACAATACCAATTCAAACTTTCCTTTAAAAAACATGTATTTTATTTAAACATTTAGTCATAAATCGTGTCGTGAGACCCAGATGTCCGATTTTTTTAGCGGGTAAGTATGTGATACGTTATCTAAGCTTCCCATAGCGTAGGGATCGTTATATTGCAGACGGATGTGGACGGCCTATGCCCACAGATTGCAGCACACCAAAAAAAATACTCGGAGACCTCTCTTCCTACGGACGATGGGAAGAACACGAAGATTGACTATCAGTCCATAAACAATATAGCTCATTTATGCTTCAGTACAGCATATAGCAACGAAATTTGCATGCTAGTTAATGCATGTAATTTGGCATGCTAGTTTCAATACTTTTGTTTGTGATCAATGCCATTAGGTAAATATTAATAAGGAGAATTTGTTTCGCAGATTCCGTCTCCTTGCATCGAGCTGTGAAGGCAAAAGGTAAAAATGTGATGTGCGTAGATGGATACCGCTTCTCCGTCGTTAAAGGCAAGAACAAGCTCAGTAATAGAGTCAGATGGAGGTGTTCTACACACCGAGGGTCGGGTTGCACAGCTCTCATGCACACCGTTGGAGATTGCGTCGTCTACCTTCGAAACGATCACATTCACCCTCCCACAAATTTTCCTAAGTATAGTTAATAAGGTTTTGAGATAATTTTAGCAATCGTTGAAACTAGTGACAATGAAATGATTAAAATAAAGAAAGAATATTTAAAGAAATACATCTTCACTCTGATTCAACGAACCTTAAAAAAAATATGTATTCGTTAATACGTATAGACGTTATCTTGATGTTATTGCAATTGTGTGTAATCAGTCATTAATGTTTATGTAAATTTAAATGTATGATTATTAAATTATATACAATACCTAAAAGCGACAGGAAATGTGTTAAATAAATTATATTAAGACGTATTTTGTATTGCGATGGCGATCCTTGCAGTGGGGGCTCTCAGGGGCCTATTTCATAAAAGAGTAGTAAATACGACGTCTTCTACTACAGTAATTTTCAATGGTAGTTTATTGTGGTTGAATTGTGTTTCATAAAGTTGATTTTTCACTACAGTATTTTTGGTAAATTTTACTACCGAAATTTTATGCAGCTACTACAGTAAACTACAAAATTACTATAGTAGAAATATTACGATAGTAAAATTTGTGAAAGCAGGTTTCTTTGAATTAACAAAAAGAAATATACATTATACTTTTATGAAATAGGGCCCAGTGTAGCAAAAGAGGTACAGAATAGAAAAAGGTCTTACGCGTTTGCCCTTGATATGAACTGTCACAAATAAAAGCATATGTTGAACGAGCGAGCGTAGCGTCAGCGAGCATGCTGCGTCCGTGACTGGCAAAGTCTATCATTTATCATTTTCTGTAGCATAGTTTGATTCATACTAGTGTGAATTAAACCTCATTAGTATAGTAACGTGTCTTATTTAAAAATTATATTTTTTCTTAATTGCTACAATAAAAAACTGTGCATATTGAAAGAAGAGAGAAGTTTTTTAAAGCGCATCCCAATTGAACCTAGTCTAGTTTCTATAATAACACAAGTAAATATTATATAGGTAGTTCAATATTATTACTAGCTTAAATTATTTACTTGTGTTATTATAGAAACTAGACTAGGTTCAATTGGGATGCGCTTTAAAAAACTTCTCTCAGTTCCTTAAAGAGCGTTTCTTCTCTATCTCCATATAACCCGAGATCACTGACAGGTCTTTTTTAATACGAGCTTTCTTAAACTTAGTGCCGCACTTAAGAAATTATTTTTTGTCAAAGTATGTAATATATGATATACAAGACCCTAAACGCGGCCAGTACCAAAATATAAAAATATTGAACAGGCAGACGGCCAGTGCAGTCTTGTAATAGGGTCCCGTATTTACTCTTTGGGTACGGTACCCTAGAAAACCAGACGGCAAGTTATAAATTTGGGAATGTTGAATAGTATATACAACAGCACATCAATGATTATGATGACTTGCCTTTTAAAAAAAATATTAAGGGACTTGTGTCTGTGAGTATGAATCAAGTCCTGTCAATTCAATGAATGCTATATTTTCAGGAACAATGTTTCATGTCGAGAGTTCTCCTAGGGGCAATAAAATCATCGTCGTTGAAGGCTATAGATTCTCAAAAGCGAAACGATATGGCAACGGCAAGATCAGATGGAGATGTTCCACGCATCACAGCGGCGGTTGCCTCGCGTATATGCACACTTATGAAGGAGAAATTTTAAAAATTAAGAATGTTCACAATCACTTGGCTAAACAACAGTGGTGATGATATCTTATGTAGCCGAACCAACTTCCGAACTGCGAGTAAATGTACAATCGCGATATTCGAAACACTTGTTGCTGCAATAATAAAACTACATCCCTCACACAACGGGTGAATCAGACGTGCAAAAGATACAAATTCGTAGCTACACTACCATCATGACACTACGTTGTGTATTTGATGTACGCATAATCATTTTCAAAAGTGTGTCAGTGGAATATATAAGTTTATTCTTTAGTTTTGTTTCAACTGGATCTGAAGTGTTATTGACTGTCCATAACTTGTTGTAATTCTAATGTATGAAAAGGGTGGCGAACTTGATTATATTTGTCTGATGCAAAACGAGAATCGTAACCTGACACTTGCGATTGTTTGAGTGATTATTTGTTTTGTTGAGTGATTATTGTCTTTTATTACTTGGTTTACCTGGAAACCTAGTAATGTTTCTAGTAAGGCAAGAACTGGGAAAGTTTTGTGAAGTGAGTACACTGCGTAACTCCTTCAGCGATTGTGAAAATTCTTATAAGTTATTGTAATTTTAAGAAGAAACTTAATGTAAAACAATCGACATTAGCAATGGATAAATCATATTGCCAGAGAAGTATATTTTTTTATTAACTTAGTCTCTACTAACTTGTTCATTATGTTTTAAGAATTGCTCTATGTAGAAATAGCATAGAAGTTATAACTCAATAAAATTGCATAACTTGTGTTTTTTTTGTTACTAATTCACATACCTACGCACGCGTATGTAGATTTTATTAATATTATACAAATATAGAACAGATTTTTTTAAGTTCTGGTTGTCTTATTAATGACTGAATTACAGGTATTCTTTATATTTTGAATCTTCAGTATAAAATACATCGAGCGACTTATTTTTTATAAAAAACCTTATATTGCATGTAGGTTTGTTTGATGTTAACGAATCTTTCAAGCTTTTTACCTTCCTGGTGGTTGAGCGCAACTTCTAATTAATACTTATAGGGGCACAACTAAGATATTCTTTTGTTTCAGGTATTCGTTACGAGTTCACCGAATCTCTTAGAGGTTGTCGGATTATCCTTATCGAAGGCTACCGTTTCGCGATCAAGAACATGAGCAAAGTAAACGCACCTATCAAGAAGATCCAATGGACCTGCTCCACTCATGGCAAGCACGGTTGTAAGGCTGTCGTCTTCACATCCAGGGATGAAATTATCTACCTTGACAACAAACACACACATCCACCACAGACAGATAAGAAATCCCAGAACAAATACTTCTTACCAATCTCAAAAGTTAAGATGTTCTATCGTCAACCAGATTATAATTAGACGAACTTATACACTTACTAATACTTTAGATGAGGCAGATTTCGTAGCCTTCTGTCTTAAATATTTCCGTAGATTTGTATAAATTCTTAATTTTCATTCATTGTACTTAGCAACCTGTCTTATTGCCTATTGACTCCACGATATATTAATTCAATTGTAGACTTCGATTATGTACTCAAACAACTTTGTTGTTAACCGTTAAGTACTTCAATTCCAATTCATGTAAAAATATATAGCGTTTTCAGACAATATTGGTTGAAAGCAATTAAACAATATAAAGTTATTGTTATGTATGTAGTTGCATACGGTGTCGTTCTTTGGTGTAAGCTTATTTATCGACAAAGTATCAGTGTGTTCATCGATGTAAGTAGATATGTCTGTAGAATGCTAACATTACAATTTATCAATAGGAAAATGAACTTTTAAAAATCTTTATACTTATTATTCAAGTTTATTTATATACGTGAAATTCATGGAAGGCTTTATATAAGGAATACTTTGCCAAACCTTTTTCACCCTGATGTTGATAAAAATGGAGTTTAGTCGCGAAGATAGCTAGTGAGAGGTTAATGATAATTTATATTTTTTTATATTTTGTTTTAATTATAACAATCTGAAATATTTTAAATTCTAGTCAATTTATATAATAAGACCGCATCAGAATAAAGTTTCGTAAAAAGCGGGATTGCTACAGAGCCGAAAAATCGTAGACTCGCTAAAAATAAGTGTAATAACCATTGAAATTCGTGAAAATGAAAGTTAGAAACTTTAAATTAGATGTATACAAAAATATTTTATTTTTAAATGTGTGTTTTCTTTAAGTAAACGTATCATGTTGGATATATACACTAAAGGCTGATAAATTCGGGAATGAATTTAAAAATAAGCGAAATACGTGGTGCTATTGTTGAGGTCAACTAAATGGAAGTTTTTGATATGCGGAAAGTAATCTAGTCAAAATTAATGGTTCGTAAGTTTATCTTAAAAGCGGTATATTATTTTAATACCGTGAGATACATTTAACGCATTTAAAATTATTTTATTAATACGAGGAACGAGTATGATACACGGTAAATTGTGAAAGGCGCGGGTTCGAAACCTGTCTTAAACTTGAAGCGGCTGGATATTTCTAAAAGTAAAAAAAAGCTTTTATATTAAACACGTACACAAAATTTTCAAGCTTTACAAAGTTTTTGATATCACAAAAAAATGTGATGATTTAATAAGTACGTAGTCGCGAGTAAACACAATTTAAAATAATAATATTTCAGATGGTCTCAGTGTTGTCTTGTATAATTGCGATATAGGCATTTATTAAAAGTATCTTCTTTAATATTACAATAATAGATGCAAGTATTTTAGCGCCATTTGCTCAATAAGGTCGGATGAAGTTTGTAAATTATCCGTCGACTCAAAAGAAATAAAATGTGAGATGCGTCTATGGATACGTAGTCCTTTATTGCCACTAGGTCTTCACATTGAGGTTGCCAATTTTTTGGGTTTTCTATCCAAGTCATAAAAACCGACTTCATGTGAATAAAACTACTAAAAAGTAATAAATAACACATTATTCTTTACTTATATCTAAAGTACATTAACAATATGGTGTCGGTGCTATGCCAACTCCTGTGTAAATGGTAATTCAGATATATAGGGCGATTCTGTAAAAAAATAAAATCTCACGGTAGCTCTTATTTTAGACATTAGTTGTCTAAAATGGCAGCTACCGTGGGATTTTATTTTATACACATAGCACCGACATCATAATGTTAATAAACTTTAGATAGGTATTACGCCATTACACGGCAAAATGTCGCTATGCCTGTAGAAGTAGTCAGTATTAGATATTTGTCAGAAATCCTAATAAATGAGATCGTAAGTGAGATTGCATCTTACAGAATACCGATTCGTCAACATGCATGGTATTAAACCGACTAAAAATTTCGATGTACTATATCTAAATATAAGTAAAGAATACGAGTTATTTCCTAAATTTGTCTATTTTGTTTCAATGAAATCGGTATTTAGTTTTGTTAAAAGATTTTTTCCCCCTTTCTATTAACATAGGCTACGTTTTACTGCGGGAAAATGTCCCTAATAAACCGCGGGTAACACCGCGGGGCACAGCTACTATATTATATAGACGAATTGAAAACTTCCTCATTTTTGAAGTCGGTTAAAATATTAATAGAGCACTCTGGATTTGACAAAAATATAACGACAATGTTAGTGCTAAAGAAGGCTTGGTATCTGAGATTTAATCAATTGATTTAATCTCAACTGGGTATATTTTGTTTATTGTAAATCTAAATGTCATAATAATAAATAATGTTGAACTAATTCTATTTCCTCTATTAACATATTAGATATCATTTTAATATGTTGTATACATTTCCAATTAAAACCAAAATTGAAGTGAAATTTGTCCCAGAAACACTATAATTATTTTTGTTTCGGAGAGTATTAATTTTAAAAGAAGATGTTATATTTTACTTATGTCAATCAATATAATTGTTTAGCTTATTCTCTTTATCATTACTTCTAGCGTTCATAGATTAAGCCAGCAATGAACATAACCCATAATATAATTATTATATACCTTGTAGTCAAATCATCAATACGCATTTTCATTATAGTTGTGATTAAATTGATGTCGCATATACTCAATAGTTCAATTTCTGTATGTTTCATTATAACCAAACAAAACTTTCAAGTATTCATTTTTTTCCCCTTTAACTGGTCCCTATTTTACATTTAGCGTAAGTAATTGAAAACATAGCTATGAAAAAAATATTTTTCTATGTAACATTCTACTTAATAACATTTTTACTGAAGAAAAATTGCATAATGTAAATGTAAAATTGGTGACAAACAAGCGTATGGCTCTGATAGTAAGTTGCCAAGACTATGGTCTTACTATAATCCTACCCCGTGGGGCCTGAACGGGGTAGGGGATTAAGTCAGTGTAGGCAACGGTCCGGGTAATATTTTTGGTATCGCAAGCGTCTATAGGCTTTGGTGCGCTTACAAGCAGACAGGCCATACGCTTGTAAGCACTTGCCACCCTTTTGACATAAAAAAAGAAATAAAATGTAAGAGGCTGCTGTCAAGCACAATAATAGCAAAAACGCATATCCACGTGGAGAGCTGACATTGTATGTGCGTGAACTTCTACTTCATATATTTATCGATCGTCTTTTTTCAGCTACGATTTGGTATTCAATGTCGCGTCGTGGCACCCGTCTGCTCAACTACAGAGGCTACACCTACGGTATTAAATACGCGTTCGGCGGTAAAAGTGTATGGAGATGCTCTACGCACAATTCCCGCGGGTGCATTGCCTTCCTGCACACTGTGGGCGATGTGGTCGTCAAAATCCTAAACGGACATAACCACTCCAGAATTTATCTCCATGCGTCGATGTAAAAGAAGAAGATGTATTAGGAATAGTTAAGAACACTGTGTCATTATAAATGTAAATAAAAATATTTTCATGAAATAAAGCTTTATTTATCCATCTCACTAAACTGGCTCTTGTAACATCATAGAATTAAGGTAGGATATAATTTAGAATTGAAAATTCAGAATATATTCATTTACAATAATTCACATAAAATAAAATTCATCTCCACAATGTAAGAAAAATAAATGATTCGGTAATTGTAAAGGTAATGATGACTGTCATCATTGGCAACGTCACTCAAAACCAAAAAGGAATACCTTTTAAAATGCTGTTTTACATTGTCGCAAGTTAATTTTACGTATTCCGTGGCTTATATTAACTAGTGATAATCAAAGACTACGAATTCAAATATCGTAATTTTTGCTTCATAATATTTTTAATAACATGTTCTTTTACCGAACACTTTCACCGTTAACCAGAAATCTTTACTTAAGTGAAATAAATTTACTGATGTTGCTGCCATATTATGTTTTTTAGGTGCTCCAGTTCTGAGATACAATAAGAGAGGGAATCTCATTATTAAAATGAACGGTTACTACTATACGAAGCATCTGTCGAAGAGTTACAGCGGTTTTTCTGACTTAACCAGGGTGAGATGGAGGTGCCTTACCAACTACAAGAAAGGCTGCCCGGCTGTCTTGTACACTCTGAATAATGAAATATCGTCAGCTAAAATTAATCATAATCACAATCCAAATTTTACACAATACTAAGTCTGCCGGCTTTATTAAGATGATGAACGTAATTTGGGAATGGATAAAGAAAGAATGATGAAAGAGCGAATGTCAGCAAATGATCAAAATACACGCTATGAATATTTGAGGTGGCTTTTAGATGATCTCTGATGGCTTGTGCTCTAGCACTAAGGAAAATAAATAACCAGCTGATGATGAAGATGATGATGTCCACACCAGGAAACTGGCTTAACTTTATGTACTTATACAATCAATTGTAATAGTAATGAACACCGATTTAGGGCCACTTTTTACAACTCCGTAACAATTAAAATCTTATTTAAACATAAAATTCTAGTACTTGTAAAATACTTGTAAAATTATTCATTTGACATTGTGGGTTACCTACAATGCGATGTGATAGCGCTGCCTTGCAGCTTAAGAATGGCTAGAGGAATTTCGACGCGGCCATCAGGGTCGCGGTAGCATAATTGGTCAATGTATTGGCCTGGGTAGTGAAGGGAATGGGTTCGAGTCCCGTCTGCTGCCTGGTCCGCGTGGAATTTTTTCTAGTTATATTTTCTTTAGATAAAATTCTGTTGAAGGCTCAAAAACGTCTTTCACCAATGCTAATTACGTTTATGCTAGTGTTAATCGTGATAAGGAACTGTCACCGAGCAAATTAAAGTTTCATCTTGACAGTTTGGCGAAAATATTTCCAAACTTGTTGTGTTTGTTATTTTTCGTCGACTGTAACTTCCGTAATAGTATGTGTAATATAAAGAATTAATTGTATTTGGTAAATTGTATTAATAATGTAAAATATATTTAAGTCACAAGTTTGATATATTTATGCATAAGCTTTAGTGACCAGCAGTGTACTCTGGTACTTTAAACTATTCCCTGCATTACAATTCATTCCACAGAAGTGTCTTCTTGTGGTGTAAATATTCCGAGAATGTAAGAATACGAAATTGAACGAAAGAAGAAAGCTGTTCCATTATAAAGAGTTTTTGGAGGATTGAGATGTATCAGAAATATATTCAGATTATGCCAAACATTATCTTCAACACATCTTATTACATTTATTTTGCTATTTCAAATTTATTTTGATTTCTTTCAAATCCATTTCAATAAAAAATATGATTATTCAGTTACGTCATTTGCATATATTTGTTTTCTTCAAACATTACCACCACTACCAGTTCTTAAGTGATAGCAAAATTAAGCATCAGCTTAAAGTACAACTAATCTTTCAACTAATCTGAATTTACTTTTTAGGCGATATAACGTTCCTGCAGAACCAAAGAGGAAACCCAGTTATACAACTAAACGGCTACTATTATACGAAACATATGACGGTCAGATTGAAGGACTCTGAGTACACCAAAGTGCGATGGAGGTGTCTAACCAACTGTGTTAAAGGATGTTCTGCCGTAGTCTACACCTTGAACGATAAGATCCTGCGGGCTAAAACCAATCATAACCATAGCCCTTTCTTATAATAATGATAATTTCCTACACTCCCACCAATAAACCTAGCTCTAAGGCTTGTTTTATGGGATGCTAGGGTAACGGATGGAATACATAAGTTTGATACACATAAAAGTATATTTATATTTTATACCCTATATATACCTTCATCCATGACAAAGATAGAAATGCTCGTATTCATCATACTAACTATATCTTTTTAATCTTTAATATTGGGTTTTTGAAAAAAGAATGGCAAAGGTCATACGTACACTATCAGTATACATAATTTATAATTAAAGTGAAAAAAAATAAAACTAAAAACAGTTCTGTTAAATAACTAATATATATTTTCACTCTAATTATAAATTATTTATACTGATAGTAAATGTAAATGCGTCTGTCTATGTCTCTTACTTCTTTATACTAAAACCACTGAATCACCATCTAGTTGATGATAATAAATAATTTATAAAGTATTAAACAATTTTCAAAGACCCCCTTAAATGCAACTGTTTTATAATAAGCGGTATTAAAACACGAATGTGGGTGTGTGAATACTATTAAGTATCACATGAGTGTTTTAATACCTAATTCTGAACAAGACTTTATCTACACCCATGATATAAATCCTCTATAAAAGATTTAAAAAACCATGGGGGCGTTCTAAGAACTTCAAATTCATCAAAAGTTTTGGCGCTGCGGTAATGAAACACGCGTGAAAGACAATGTTCTTTTTTGAAATTCATAATACCACGAATCGAGCAGTGAAAATTGTAGCTGTCTGATGAGTAAGTCCTTAGTGCGGAAGCGAAGGAGTGTTATTATGAAATTTAGTACAACATTATAACACCCATTTGGTTATAATTTTTTTTTATTATTACATTGGATGTTTTAATTTTGTTCAATGAGCTAACTGTTTCAGAATATTTGATAGAGGTTTTAAATAATATCTGAGTACAGGTAATTTTAAAATTAGCTGTGTTAAACAATTAATAAACTCATTGTGTCATAACAAAATTCTTGAAGGAGCTCAATGGCGAAATTGGTTAGCGCGTTCGGCTGCGATCGTTGGAGTTAAGCAACTTTTGCAGTGGTCGGTCATCGGATAGGTGACTAAAAATTTAATATCTCGAGCTCCTCCGTGTTACAGAAAGCACGTCAAGCCATTGATCCCACCAATCACGTGGGTATCGACCCATTCTCGTTATCCATATATATATATATATATATATATATATATATATATATCCATCTCCATAAATGTGCGACTTTAACTATATATTTTCTCAATATGGTATATTCATAATATAGTATATAGTTTATTCATAAAAGAGACACAAATAAGTATTTTTGCTTGCTTAAGAACCTGAATATGTATACAAGTAACAAATGTGTGCATATTACGTAGTACGTGACTCTCACAATCACGATATCTCAGGAACGGTGATACTTAGAGAAAAAAATATAAGATCCATTTTTGTAGAGAATTTTGAGATCTACAATTTTAGACTGAGGTATTTTTTTGATTAAGCTTACCGTTTTTGAGAAAATGTCAAAAAACCTAAAATTTTGACCTTTGGCCCCGCATAACTTTTGAAGCTCGCATGGGATTGATGGGGACTTTTAAATTTTTATTCATAAGGGTAAAACAAAGGTCTCCACCAATATTTGGCTCTGTCGGGGTTTTTGTTATTTGAATTGTCTAAATTGACCGGACTATTAGGAGTCTTATTTTCTTAACAGCGAAAGCCGCAGAGCTCAGTCTTCTTGATAAGGCATCAATATGAGGATCCCATTGCAGATGCGAGTCTAAAGTAATACCCAGAAACTTTGTATAATCCACTAACTCTACAGGCTGGTCATTTATTTTTAAACTAGTATTAACCTGCCTCACATTAGGTAAAGTAAACTTAACACATTTTGTTTTACTAGAGTTTAGTTTTAAATTATTTACCGTAAACCAGTGAAGGACTTCAGAGAGAGCACAATTTACTTCGTCATAACAATCATTTCCTCTCCTAGCTTTATCCATATGGTAGGCCTGTGCCCCATAAATGGGGACATTAGTAGGCTGATAATGATGATGATTTTAAATTTGTAAATTATAGTGGCAATAATGATAGATTATATTATATATATATATATTTTTAAAAGTAAATAAAAATATAGATTAAAATGCGGATGAATAAATAGGTTGCTATAAAATGCCAGGATCCATTTCATACACATTCAAAAAACGATGCTTAACAAATACTCATTTTTATGATTTTAGATCGAATTTTTATAAAAATACACTCACATAGGCAAACAAGGGAAGAAATTCTCAGGAAAAAACGAATGGCAGAAAGATTGCGATATGAAAAAATAAGAAATAATAAAGAACTGTGGAAGAAGAGGCAAGAAGAGAACAGGCAACGGTACTTACGCAGATTGTTGGAAAAGGACATAACATAAATTAACATCGAATGCAACAAATGTTTCGGTCAAGTCTAAGGCCTCTATTATAGAAAAATCTCAGTAATTAATCTATATATATCATAGTCAGAAAGGGATAATGCTATATATACCACATAGCGACATCCCTTTCTTACTGTACTCAAGTAAAGATACACTTAGTTGTCATACTGTAACGACGCAGTCTGAAAAGGGTGCAAAATGTCATAAATAAATAAAACAGTGCATCTATACCGTTGAAACTTGTTTTATTTAATGAGTGGTGTGCATTAAAACCTAAGAAACAAATAAGTATAATTATCTTTATGTTTTTCGGCAATTATTTATAATTGGATTTGGAGAAGTATAATAATGAACCACAAAATAATAGTTTTATTTGTCAGCAGAGTACCTACATACATCGCTGTTTTTATTTAAAGAATATATCACTAGAAAAAAATCCACGCGAACCATTTTTCTAGTAAAATTATCTTAACATTTAAACATCTACTGGTTAAATGCTTAAAAAAATAAATGTATTTATACTACAGAGTTTTTAAATCTAATATTATTTGGATGATCTATAATCCTCACTGTTCTTGATATAGATTTTAAAATTTTCTGCTCCTGTACTTTGGATGGTAAGTATTCTTTGCTGTTTTATATAAAATCCAATCTCAACCTCACCTGGAGGTTAAGTTTGATTTTTTATTTATTCAATATTTTATTAGTTAAGGAAAAAGTAAATAGATACCTAAGTAATATGAATGTAACTTGCATATCCTTGATAAGTTTTATTTGCCCACAGGAGGACCCATATTTGGACCATACGATGTGTGCGGCAACAGGCATATCTACTATCACGGATATAAATACTCAGCTAGGCGCAGGGATATCGCAAAGTACCGCAGGGTACGATGGTATTGCTCCAGCCATCATTCCAGGGGTTGCGGTGCTTTTATAAAGGCCATAAATGAAAATATCATTGGTATTCGCGACACCCACAACCACGAACCAACGCTGCAGCGGCGGTCTCGCGTCGCCATATAAGGCAAACGGGACAGTTTAAAAAGATACTATAGTATGATAATATAGTATGTTAGTTAGAATTCGTCTATTTTCTCAAAGTGGGTGTTGACGTCAGTCCTCTTGTAGATTTTCCAGAAAAAAATAACGATATTCTAGTGAATTAGGATCCGTTGTTTGATACATAGTAAAAGGTTAATATTAGTATGTAAATATAAATTCAAATACATTGTAAAATGGGACAAATTAGATAATAAAAGTTATCATTTGTCCAAATGTGTTTTATGTGCCATTGACTAATTATCACATTGAATATTGAAAAATGTACCAAGCAACGGGGCCTTAGTAGTCTCTTCTTTTAAGTAAAATTTTGGTAATATTAACTAAAATTAAAACTGCATTTCTACCTGACTACTACAATTATTTCTCCCTTATTGCTGCTCCATTTGAAATTTTTGAGAGAAATTTAGAGGGGCGCTTGGATATGCTGAATAATAAAAGAGGATGGACACATGTAAAACGATAATCTAGGATCTATTACCTATATTCGGAAATTAAAGAACCTTTTTCTTTCTTTTAGTGAATCTTTCATAATTTAAGTAGTAAATATGTGTTCTTTGTACTCCCACACATAATTCGCATCGCATCGCAAATATATGCGAGCGCGCACTACTGTACCGCGAGAACTTCCGATTTAATTCGCTTCGCTCATTCCTGCCATAGTACATCACACTTGGTTATGCCATTTTAGTCCACTCTGAGACTTGTCTTGTACAATTCTTCTGGTGAACATGGTTATAATAAATTTAAAGGTCTACAAATGAACATTCTGACATTTTAAATTAATAGAAAAATCTTCTATTCTCAAACCATAGTATTTTCTAGTAAAATAGGTCCCATCAGCGTTCATAATCGTCATAAATGGATAAACCTAAAATATTCATTTTCTTCTTTTTTTAAATTAACAATAACAGCAGTGCAACAATATTTTTGCGATCCATGGCACTATTACTAAAATACGTCCAATAGGCTGAATACCATTTCAGAGTTGGTATGATCCCCTAAACCAAGGCATTGCCGCACGAAATTGTATCGCAGAAACTTGTGACTTCGCATCGCATCGCATTGCAGTCTTGTGTGGGAGCCCTTACTAATTGTAAACCTGACTTAACTACCTGCTGATGAAAGTTTGTAGCCTTAGTCTAGTAGTATTCTATGTTAACATAGTCTCGGGTGTGATGGAATTGTTGCCCAATTATAATTTACTTGAAACTAACATCAATGTGGCCTATCTGTGGTTATATGATTTGGTCTTTCATTTTATTTCTTTGATAGATGGTTTCTACCACTGATATTTATGATCATTTAAGGGTTTACACACAATTGAAAGGCCGAAAATGGCGTTTCTACAATTTTTTTTTTGGATTGGGATTTCATTTGTCAAATACAAGGGTATTCAATAAATATAAAAGTGACTTTTTACTTCACTTGGGTGCTTTTGATTTATGAAAAAGATTCATTTACACTGCTTCAGCAGACAGTCTCCTGGAGGACCACCAAAAAGAGATGTCGGTGGTGAGCAACATATCTCTGGTTTGGTTTATCTGAAATAATCTGCTTGGTCAAACATAAGATTCTATTAGTGAGTGAATAAATCTAGGTAATGATCGAAGGAATATACAAAATTTTAACTTTTGACAAAGTGATAGCTCTGAAAAGAAAATCCAATTCATTTCGTTAAATTGTTTTTAAAAAAATGTAATAATCATCACATATCTTATTCCTTTGATCAATTTCAAAAGAACATATCTGAGAATGTAGTGTTAAAAGATCAGACCGATCGGTTGAGCCGTTTTTGAGAAATTGTGCTCACGAATATTGAAAATACCATTTTGAGAAAAACGCATTCAAAGTTTCAAAAGACGTTTAGACATACTTACATGTAGTCATCTATGTAGTTCCGTAAATCCGTATATCTTAAAGAATATTTTCCAGATTATTTGAAATTTTCAGAGAATATAATGATTTTTTTTTCTTTTTTTAAGTTTTTAATTACGTATATTTAACCCCTTAAGACATTTTATGTATCTCCAGAACAGGATCAAGTATTTTTTCAATGCCTATAATTTCTTAAAATATGCTTTCACTGAATTTTGTAACACAATGCGCATTAGCATAATTGAAGTAGTTTTTAAATAAATACCAAACATTCGAGATTTCTTTATTATTTCCTATTTTAACCACTTGCACTTTTGTGTAATTCACTACGAACATATGATTAGAATTATAAATAAATTAATAGTTAAAAGTTTTTCTTTATTGGACGAAAACAATTACATTCATACTAAGAACTTTATCTTTACAGGGATCACCTACAGTGATATTGCTGAATATGAAATAATAAAATCTCAGAGAGGTGGAAACATATTACTCCGAAACGGATACCGTTATATAACCAAACGCGTAACTACCAATGGCAGTAAGACGTGGCAATGTACCAAAAAAAACTGTAATGCCACCATAGTGACGCACGAAGGAAAGATCAAAAGAGAAAAGAAACATGTCTGTCAACCGAATTACGTGGAGAATGAATTAAGTAAATTTAAGCAAGAGTGTATGTACAGAGCTGGAACTGAAGCTACACCTATCACAAAGATTTATACTCAGTGTGTTGACGAATTGAGAAGCACAGGTTTTGAGTTTCTTGATAAAATTCCAGATTTCAACAGTATAAAAACAGCTCTGTACGGCCATAGGTCGCGTGTAAGAAAACACAAACAAAAAATCGATGACAACAGTGATTAAAAATTGCATTCTTGAATATACATAATAACTAGGGGAAATTCATGATGTTAACTAAAAGTTCACTCGAGAGCATTGTTTTAATCTATAGATTAGACAATGATAAAATTGTATTATTTAAATATCCCAGGATTAATAAGTGTGCTCTAAGCAGGCTGAAGGGCAACTCGTTCTTCTCAACCGCAACTAATTTTCAAAGTAATGTTGTAATCCTCATGTTGTACTCATACGTATGTGAGTTTGTTTCAAATTCCTGAGATATATACCTAATTTCTTTCGTTCATTATCAATTTCACACTGCTTCCATATTATTTCTAATCGTATGAGGTTGAGAGCGGAGATTGATGCAAACTATATCTATCCACCTAGATTAGTGCAAATATGTTGAGTGGGTTTAGTTTATTTTGCATAACAATTACTTCCTTTTACAAAATTAAGCTGAAATTTTGACTTTCGTTTTACATGTTATAGGTATACCTATGTTATAGAGTTCTAAAAATTTCCCTTACATTTGTAGGTATGTGCTATTTAGTAGTAAACTACACACCATACAAGCAGAATTTACGGAAGTGAATCGAACCCGTTACTTACTATTTTATTTAACAAAACTACGTGTATAATTTTTAAATTAAAAGAACTATGTGATATTGTCTTTTTATTTAAAGAAAACGTATTACCCGTTTAAGTGTAACTGTCGTGTTATTTTGGGTATGTTATGCATTTTTATTATTATTCACAATGTAACATAAATTTTATTTTTTACTAACTTGATTCTTAAACATTTAAATTAAAAACATGTTCAGTATGATTCGTCTTTCTAATTTAATAATTATTGTTATCGTGCCCCTGCTGTCAGGCTCTCCTCGGATATTGATTTTTTCGCCTCACAAATAAGTTTTTCTTTAATTTCAGTGGAATTTGTAACCTCAAGGAAAGGGAGAACAATGATAAAGTTTAAAGGTTTTACCTTTTGCCATTTAAGAGATAGTGGCGGCAAAAGTAGATGGGTTTGCTCCACACATAAAAATAAGTACTGCAAAGCCTTTATTATTACCTACAATGGTGAACTTATCCGCTACAGCACGCTCCATAATCATGAGTGAGAAGTCATTATATGATGATGACATGATCACATTGAGAGCTTTCGACTTAAAGTTTTCATAGTAAGTTGTATGGACTCGTCGAAACCGGGGCCGTATTGAGATGCAGACAAGGAATTCATATAAGTGGAGATAAAGTGGAGAGGAAGATTCAAAAACAGTGGGACTAGGAATGAAGAAGCAAGTCATGAGATAGATAATAAATTAAAGATGTATAAGTGTTAAAGAAGTAAAAAAACATGAAGTTGATACGGTCAAACCCCTTTATTGATAAGAAAATAAATGTTGGTCAAAGGGCTCTGACCGGCAAGATGTATTATTTTTTTTAGCGCTTCATGCTTCTTTGTTGTTTAAGTGTCAGCTTATAAACTAATAATATTGTTGGCTAATAAACCATTAGGCAATGGCATATAAGAGACGATTGCTACATTCGTGGCTGAGTTACAATTTATAATAATATGAGTTAACCTATGTGATAACAATAAGATAATGTTAAATCCTTACAATTGAGCATTTTGTAGCTAACAATATAACTCGATTATGAGCTATGATTTGAAGATTAAATTGCTGTTCAGCTCTTCTTGAACCATAAAAGCTGCTAGTTCATAGTTCTAAAATGCAGCAAGAATTTTGACTGGAATTAAACTCACAAATGTAGTATAACTAGCTTTGTTAATTTTTGTATGACTTCCAGAGTCTTAAAACTTCCAATGCTTACGGTGCGGCATACTGGGTAACTATTTGATTCCATCCTCCTCTCTTACCATCGTATAGAATTTTAATGAGAACGAGTCTTTAATCTGGTCGGTTGGAAAATGACCGCGCGATCTTTTGCCTTCGTTGTTTATAACCATAATAAGTTTTTTCTTATCAAATTTCTGCCTAATCCGCTCACTGTATGACCAAAGTATGAATGAATATGCGACTTACATTAAGGTAGAAAATTAGATTTTATTAGAAGTTGTGCCAGAATCGATGATTCGGTGCTTTCCGCCGTCCATTAGATATTAGTCTTTAAAACTGTAAATCGAATTCCTGATCTAAAATTTCTACTCCATCTTGAGTACGGACCAGGATGCCTATATATTTGCTGATTAATTAAATAATTAAGTTTAAGGTGAGATATTGACTAAAAATCTTTGTTTTTATACTTATTCAATTGTTTTTCCGGCGCAGAATAGACTTTCTGTGAAATTGATTTCTTTCTATTTATTATGGTTTATGAGATATTGTGTAACACAATGATAGGTACTTTTTCACGCGTAAGTACCATACTAAAGACCACAACCAAAGTAATTACTTTTTTTACATTCATATGGACAAAGTTTGAGTAACCTTTTACTAAATCACCGCTGTCTATCCGTCCGTCTGTAAGCAGGTTTTATCTCTTAAAACTTACTTAATAAATATCCGAGGCTCCGAGTACTTGGCAGATTTCTATTAGCTTAAATGCATCATGTCCTTTTCAGTCTATTAAGCATATTTAAATATTAAAACTGTACAAAAGCAAATTGGCTTTTATTATTTCACACAACTTGTCAATATAATAAATAATATTGATACGCTATAATGATGTCATTAATTCATTTTACACAAACACTGTTATTCACAAATTAAAGCAGGATGTGTCTTGATTAATTTTCGCTTACTTAAATACTTGTCACTTATTTAAACAGCTCGAGAGAATAAATTTTTGGTCACCCTTCCTATGACCGACATTTGCAATATTTGCTCAAATTCCTTTGCAATTGTGGAAGCTGATTAAATATTCCAAACGTGCAGGTACCATCGAGTTTTTAAGCTAACAACTTGCGTAATGCAAAATGCCAAACGATCATAATCTAATCGTAGTCATCATAGTATACGGTGGCATCGTTATAATCTGTTCCAGTGCAATTCGTCACATCGCAGAGAGGAAAACTCATGATAAAACTAGATGGGTTCACGTATCGTCGCGCCACGTTTTCCAACAACAAAGTCAGGTGGACTTGCTCCACCCACCAGTATAAAGGTTGTCGCGCCTTCCTCATCACACTCAATGATGAAATTATCTATTCCAACACCATTCACGAGCACAAATGAGGTTGTGCTCGTTATAAAGAAGACTTGATATATCATAAAAATGCAATTAACTTTTTTATTTTCCTAGCTTAGCCTTTCTAGTCACTTATTTAAATTAAATGCTATTTCTTATCACTCTCTGCTGGAGATCAAACTTTCTCGTTACACATAATTATTTTGCGATTACGAACTAGAACACTAAACTCATTAGTTCCAATTTTCTGTACTTTTAGTAATTCGTACTTAATTATTTACGATATTATTCAAAAGTATTTTTTTTTTATTTTTTTTTAAGACGACATTTTCTTTTATTGATACAGCACATCGAATAGTTGTCTTGTCATCAATTTATCATTATTAATAATTTCTCGTAGTCTTACCTATAGTTGTTCGTAATTATCTGTAACTGATTACTGGCCGAATGCATTTAATACCAAATTATCAAGGTTCTCTTTAAATAATAAACACTTTAATGTCACCATGCTAACATTGCTAACAATGGTTCTATTCTATTGACAGTTTGTCTACTACAACCACCAGGTTCTTGTTTACACTTCACATTCTTAAGCTGCAAGGCAGCGCCATCTCTTCGCATTATAGGTAACCCACAATATAAGAATGGTTAGAAGAATTTCGACGCGGTCCGTGAGAGCCGCGTTAGCATAATTGATCAGTGCATTCGCCCGGATTGCGAAGGGTGCGGGTTCGAGTCCCGTCTGCTGCCTGATCCGTGTGGATTTTTTTTTCTAGTTTTATTTTCTTTAGATTTAAACATCAAGCAGTTACATGCTTTAAAAATTAATAATAAAAATTATAACTATAATTGCTATTTCTTCTTTCAAATGTTTAATACTTGTAAAAGTATTCATTTGATATTGTGGGTTACCTATAATGCGAAGAGATGGCGCTGCCTTGCAGCTTAAGAATGGCTAGAAGAATTTCGACGCGGTCAGTGAGGGCAGCGGTAGCATAATTGGTCATTGCATTCGCCCGGATTACGAAGGGTGCGGGTTCGAGTCCCGTCTGCTGCCTGGTACGCGTGGAATTTTTCTAGTTATATTTTCTTTAAAGAATATATGGTTTTTTACATTCGGTTATTATTTTTGTATAAAAAGATTTTTGATGTAACAAGTCTTTACAATCTATACCAGTGAAGAAGTGCTGTAGGTTAATATCTACAGCTGTATCTTAGCAATTCTTTTATTTTTCATTATATCTGCAGCTCATATAGCAGCATACACAGCTATATATTATAACTACAGCTGTATCTTAGGATTTTTTTTATTCATCACTATCGCTTTAAACCCAGTTCAATTTTTGAAGAACAATGATGGTTCTTTTGACAAGCCCTTTAACTATTAACATGCCTGCATATAAAATATTTATTTACTTTAGCCCTAAAGGTTTCTATTATAAAGTTGTGAAAATGTTCTAAATGAATATTCTTTGATTGAGTTGTATTGAAATGAAATGAAATGAAATGAAATGAAATGAAATGAAATGAAATGAAATGTCATTTATTCAGTCTAGGCTGTTACAAGCACTTGTGAAGGTCAAGAAGCTACGCCATCGGTTCGCAAAACTACGGCGGGAGACCTTGTACTGAGAAGAACCGGCAAGAAACTCAGCAAGGGCTGCTTTTTTCTCCCTGTATTGATATATACAGAGTCGTCAAGTTGAAAAATGATTTCAGAGATACATCTGAAGTCACCTTCCATTACATTATTAAGGATATAGATATATAGTTACAATAAATTTTATATTTAGTATATAGGAAGCGGCATTAGATAGGTATTATATTACTGTTTCAAAAACTGACTCAAATAACAAATTACAAGAACCACTATGTCCATGCATTTCGATCATTTAGATAATCATTAACTTTATAATAGCCCTTATTCATAAGAGTATTCTTAATCTGAGATTTAAATTTGGTTAGTGGAAGCTCAATCAGATCTTGGGGAACTTTGTTAAACAATGCAATACTACATCCCAGAAATGAACCTCTTGATTTTTGGAGTCTGAAACATGGAACGGCAAGTTTGTTATTATATCTCGTGTTAAAGTTATGGGTTTGACTTTTTTTTGTAAATGCGTCATAGTTTTTTCTTACATATACTAAATTTTCATAAATGTATTGCGATGCCAGTGTTAAAATATTAATTTCTTTAAATTTTTCTCTAAGAGATTCTCTTGCCTTTAAATTATATATGGCGCGAACAGCTCTCTTTTGCAGTACGAAAATACTTTCTATATTAGCAGCTGAGCCCCACAACAAAAGGCCATATGACATAACGCTATGAAAGTAACCAAAGTAAACCAATCTTGCCGTTTCCACATCAGTTAGAAGTCTTATTTTTTTAACAGCAAAAGCCGCAGAGCTCAGTCTACTTGATAAGGCATCAATATGAGGATCCCATTGCAAATGCGAGTCTAAAGTAATACCCAGAAACTTTGTAGAATCCACTAACTCTACAGGCTGGTCATTTATTTTTAAACTAGTATTAACCTGCCTCACATTAGGTAAAGTAAACTTAACACATATTGTTTTACTAGAGTTTAGTTTTAAATTATTTACCGTAAACCAGTGAAGGACTTCAGAGAGAGCACAATTTACTTCGTCATAACAATCATTTCCTCTCCTAGCTTTAAACACTAAAGAGGTGTCATCAGCAAATAGTACTGTCTCACACAAATCTCTTGTAAAGTGAGGAAGGTCATTAATATAAATAAGGAAAAGCAATGGGCCCAATATTGAACCCTGGGGCACGCCCATAGAAATGGGTGCTCCTGTAGACTCAGCTTGATTTATAACCACTTTCTGAATCCTAGCAGAAAGATAAGACTGTATCAGACTTAGTGAAATATTTGATACACCATAATGCTTCATTTTATTTAACAATGTTTCATGGCTAACGCAGTCAAACGCCTTAGATAAATCGCAAAAAATGCCAATAGCATCGTGCTTACTCTCCCATATATCAAAGATGTGTTTGAGAAGTGCAGTTCCAGCATCAGTAGTACTTTTGCCTCTAGTGAAACCAAACTGTTTTAAATGAAGTAGCTTATTTATAGAAAAGTGTGCTAGTAATTGGTTATAAATTATTTTCTCAAATACTTTACTTAGCGCTGGTAATACAGATATAGGCCTAAAATTGCTGGGATCTGATTTGTCACCAGCCTTAAAGAGAGGGATAACTTTAGCACATTTCATTAGATCTGGAAACACTCCCTCATCAATACATTTGTTAAATATAATGGCCAGTTGTGGCGCAATGACAGTGATAATCGGTTTTATTATATATGTTGATATTCCCCAATAATCCTCTGTCTTTTTAATTTTAATTGAATTAAAAGTTTTTATAATACAATCACTACTGATATGTCTAAAATGAAAATCATTACTGCACTTATCAACACTTGACTCAAGGAGGGTCATTGCTAACCTAGAACAAGAATTAAGATTTCTAGTTGTTTCAAATGGTGCACTAGAAAAGAAATTTTGAAAAGTGTTTGCAACGGCATCATCTGTCCTAATAATCTTATTGTCTATTTTTAAAGAATATGTGTGTTCATTAAATTTATTTCTTCCAGTTTCATTATTAATTATATTCCAAGTTGTCTTTATTTTATTATCGGAAAGACTAATTTTTTTAGATAAAAACTTAGACTTTGCTATGGCACACACCTTTTTAAAAGTTTTTGAATAGTTTTTGACATATTCTATAAACTTAGGATCAGATGAGGTTGCCTTGAGAGCATATAATTGATACAACTTATTTCTACTTTTGTAAATACCCGGTGTGGCCCAATCACTAAATTTCTTTTTAGAGCTATGGCATTTAATTAATTTGCGTTTAAATATTTTATTGAATTCATCTTTAATTAAATTGAATAAATCTTCATACAAAATATTATAATTATTACAAACTGGTAAGTTCGATATTTTGTGATAAACGTTATCTTGAAATTTATTTATCCCCGTTTGTGTAATTGGTCTACAAGTTAGGTCATGTTTGGGTGAAGCATGATGGTGTTCAATAGAGGCTAATTGTCCACTATGATCAGAATTAATACAATTTATTATTGATTTATTAAAAACATTTCTATTACAAAAAATATTATCCAAACAGGTTGCTGATGCATGTGTGATGCGGGTAGGCTCAAAGAAGGTATGCTTCAAGTTATATGATCTAAATAAGTTTAGAAACCTACTCACTAATGGACACTTAACTAAAATGTTTATATTAAAATCACCACACACAACAACCACTTTATTACATTTACATACTATATTGAAAGCGTCTTCCATAGCGGACTCAAATTGAGTGTAATTCCCAGATGGGGGTCGATATACACATATTATGATCATTTCTTCCAGTTCCACGCAAGATAGTTCAACATTACGTTCAACTGAAAGTGAAACAATATCTGCACGTTCTTTGTATTTAAGATTATTCTGTAAGATTATGAGAGAGCCTCCCCTGATAGCCGATTTCCTACAAAAACTACTAACAACTGTATAATTATCTAAGCCTGTAACTAATTCATAATTTCTGAGCCAGTGCTCTGTAATACAAAAAATGTTTATATTCATTGTATTTAAAAATAAGCATAGTTCTAAGTCTTTACCAGAAAAGCCTTGTATATTTTGGTGAACAATATTTAGAAATTTAGACTTTTCCTTGGTCATGATATAGCTAGAGAGCTCCTCTGTTGTCTTACGAACTAATTTAAATTACAATTAATGTCAGTATTTGGAACAAATTCCAAAGTCTGATCCACATAATTATGCTGCTCAATAGAAGCAGTAGTGTTAGCCAAGTTTTTGGCTATGTGTGTAAAATAAAATAATAGCGAAGAAGCTATTTGTCTCTTATGGTAATATGAAAGATAATATTTATCTCTTGTCATTTTAAAATTATATATTAATTTATTTATATCAATTAAATGTACTTTTTGACCACTATACTGAGACATGGTACTTAATGTCAAATTTAGCCTGTACCTAATATTATTTT